TCACCTCCCGCTATGGCCAATGTCTCCCCTCCTCCTGAAGGATTCTGAGGGCTGGAGCCTTGGGGGTCCCCAACTCCTGAGGCCCCTAAAGGGGTCTTGTTAATCAAGAACTCATATCATGTTGGGGGTGTTGGAAAGAATTCTGCCTGTGGAAAGCTTGGGTTCCAGTCCACCCTTGCTTTGTGTGTGACCTTGAGCAAGTCACTTTTCCTCTCTAAACCCCAATGCCCTAATATACAAACAGAGAGAATGAACTCTGCACCCCCTCCATGGTGTGACTGGCAAACACTGCCGATTGCCCCCCTAATACCCATCCCTCCACCCCAATAACCACACTCCAATTCTGTATGGGATTGCCTTGTCCCTCACCACCATGGATGGACCAGGGCTAGTTGGAGCTAATCATGTTCCCCAATTCCCCAGCTCCTCCCAGAGTCTACGGCTGGCCAATGAGACATGGACAGAAGTTGACTGTGTGAGGTTTCAGGACAGTGTTCCAGAAAGGGGACCCCCATTCGCAGAGGCCTGGCTGGCTCGGCAGGGGGAGTGAGGGGCAGAGGAGAGAGAGGAGGGCAGAGTCATCAGGCCGGACCCTGGGGCCTGAGGGGCTACGTAGTGTTACATGGAGGCCTGGGGGCGCAGAGGGGTGGGCAATGGCTCCCCAGGCTCAAAATGTTCAGGCCTGAAGGGACCAGGCATGGGGCTCAATTTGGAGCATCGCTCACGTCTCTCTTGGCTTAAATGTCTGCGTCTGAGCTCATAGCTCTAAAAAGCTGTGCAAAATGAGCGCCAAGCGTGTGGACACATTCAAGAGAAGTGACCCCAGGATGGTCCGCAGCGTCCCTCCATCTCTCTCCCAGACTAGGTTCCAGGCCGTCCTCTTGCTCTCTTCATGTACTAACTCTCGGTCCCCGTGGTCCTGGCGAGTGAATCCAGCGACGCCCAGGGCGCTGACGGGCGTTTATTGTGCTGTGTTTAAACAATTCACATCTCTCTTAGATTCGTATTTATAAATTTAGATACAACGTGCATGAGTGTGCTACTTGTGCTTTGCATTACCAACCGGATGGGCTTTGAGCACTAGAATGGCTAACAGTGTTCTTTTGTCAAAAACGTTCAATAACATTTCATTAAAAGTTCAAAAAATTAATAAAAATTCAGATTTGATTTTAAATGTTTTATTAATTGTAATTTGTATTCTCCCTCTTAATTTCAATACATAATTTTGAGCATTTTAGAAAAACACCTTTTTGAAAAATATTTAAAATTTTTAAAAATTTACTATAGTTTATCTTTTAGATGAAAATTCCATTTCTTTAGTCATTTTAGAATACTCCCGTTCCTAGAACACGAATTAGTAACTTTGGTGAAATGAAAGCATGAGCATTTTTATGGAGTAAAACTATAATAATCTGAGTTATGCATGTCTCTTTTATCACTTGTCCAAACACAGCCGGTCCATCAGCAGCACACCCAAACACGCCAGCTTTCAAGCATATAAAAACCATAGCTTTATACATACTTTTCAATTTTGTCACCATGGAGGGATATTTGTCAAGGTAAGAGAAGGGAACATATTTTATTTAACAGCTTGTTGGCTTGATTTTTAAATATTTAAGCATATGGTATGTGGGTCTCCATTTGTGCTCCTGCAAATATTAGAGGTGGATCGTGTGTTTTTTAATACCAGCTTTATTGCTATCGAATTCACTTACCATAAAGCCCACTCTTTTAAAGTCTAAAATTCTGTGGTGTTTGATATATTTCTACAGTTGTATACCTACCACCCCTGCCCAATTCCAGAACACTTAGAGCACCCCCCAGAACCCCGCTGTCACTTCCCACCCTCCCGGGCCCCCAGAGCTGGAAATCACCAATCTACTCTCTGTTCCTATGAATTTGCCTGTGCTACAATACGTAGCCTTCTGTGTTGGGTTCTTTCACTTAGCACAATGCCTTCAGGGTTCATACACGTTGTGGCATGTGGGATGCCACATCGCCGTTTTGTTCCTTTTTAAGGCTGAATAATATTCCACTGCATGGACAGACCACGTCTAGTTATCCATTCAGCTGATGGGTGTTTGGATTATTTTTACTTTGAGGCTCTTATGAATAGTGCTGCTATGAACATTTGCCTACAATTTTTTTGTCCACATATGTTTCCAGTTCTCTCAGGCATATACCTAGGAACGGACTTGCTGGGCCATATGGTAACTCCATGTTTAACTTTTTGAGGAACTGCCAGGTTGTTTTCCAAAGCAGCTGCACAATTTTGCATCCCCACCGGCGATGCACAAGGGTTCCGATTTCTTCACATCCTTGTCAGCCCTTGTGATTGTCTGTCTCTTGCTTCTAGGCACCCTGGTGGGTGTGAAGGGGTTTCTCATGGTGGTTTTTATTTGCTTTTCCCTGGTGACTAAGGATCATGAGCATCTTTCAAGGGCTTATTGGCCATTTGCATATCTTCTCTGGAGAAGTATCTATTCAAGTCCTTTGCCCACTTTTTAATTGGGGAATTCAGGTCTGGTTTTAATACTTATAGGGATATAGCAGCAACCATTATGACCCAAGACAGAAGCTTCAGGCTTGCTTCCCACCAGTCTGTGCACTTCGGGGTGGACTAATTTACCTTCCAGTCTTTGCAGAGGCAGCTCTTACCACCTCGAATGCTTCCTCTCCTCTTGGCAAAGCTGTCTTGGTGATTTTCCTCTGGTCACAGAGTGACAACTGAGCATGCTGCTGTGGACCCGAGTCAGCTGTGGCCATGGATAGGAACGTGGGCTGTGAGGCCAGCCCTCCAGGTTCATACCCGGCCCCCCCCCCAAGACTCAGCCCTGCAAACCAGAACAGCTAACTTCTGTTCCCTCCTCTGTGAGACGGCATGGAAAATGCCTTTCTCATGGAGTTGCCGGGAGGGCTTGCTGAGAGCATGTGTATCAATCTTATTGCACACTGTGCATGATCGATTCTCGGTGGATTTCCCCTGGGCAGAGCACTTCTAATGACAAGGGGCTTGTGCCTTTCAGGCCAGGACTTTCCATTTATGGATGGTGTTAACTAGAGGACGCCCTTGGGATGTTTGGCTGAAAATCACCTTCCTGTGGTCCCCACAGTTGGTCAGGGTCCCAGGGCAACAGGGGCTGTATCCAGGCCCAGGCAGCCCTGCTCCTTAAGCCCTAGAGTCTGGGGTGAAGGCTGCAGGTTCCCCCACCTCCTCCCGCCCCAACTGTCCATCCACTCCTCCCCACTCCTCCACTATGTCACTCACGCCTCCTCCCCCCTGCCTGAGTGGCTTGTGACTGCTCAGGGGACTTGAGAGGCAGCAGAAAAGTGATACAACACCCTTAATTACCCTTGTTTCTTCTAGATCCCAGCACCTAAATTTAGCCAGCAGAGCCTGGGCGTGGGGGACCCAGCTCCTCCCACACGGGAGCCCCACACCCTGGCAGAGGCAGGAAAATGAGTCCGGAGAGA